TTTTTGTCAGTTTTGTATAAGTCACCGTTTTTGAAGATATATCCTTTCGTTTCTAGAGCGCTTCCGTGTTCATTTCTGAGTTCTTGTAGCCTCTTGAAGGTTCCTTCGATGGCTGGTTCGATAGAGAATAAAGAGTCTGCGACTTCAGGAGGTTCCAGATCAGAGGGACCGTCTGGCTTTCTAGACAAAGCATCGGCCGCTATTTGTTCAGGGCCGGGTCTGTAGATTATGTGTACATTGAAGAATTCGATTTCGTCGACGAACCTAGCGAGTCTTCTATTGACGTGTCTTTGAGTTTTGAAATATTTTAAAGACTCATGATCGGTCCGTACCAATATCGGAGATCCTTCAATGTAACCGCGGAAGTGTTTTAGCGCGTGGACAATCGCTAAGAGCTCGCGTTCTTGAGCCGAGTAATTTTGTTCGGTCTTTGATAATTTTCTAGACTCGTATGCGATAGGTTTGAGGTTGGCGTTCTTGACGGTCTTCGAGAATTGTTCGAGATCAAAATTCTTGTCGATAGTTTCGCCATTGGGATCCTGTTGAAGGACTGCGCCGATGTTTTGACCGGAAGCGTCCGTGTCTAAGACGAATGGGCTAAAAGGCTTGGGGTGGTGAAGAAGGACGGTTCGCGTGAGATAGTATTTGAGTTTCTTGAAAGATTCGTCTTGTTCCTCTCCCCACTCAATACTTGCCCCCTTCTTCGGAGATCCCTGAGTCAATTTGTAGATCGGAGTTGCAATTTTTGAGAAGTCTTTTATAAACCTTTTATAATAAGTCGCTAGGTTTAAAAATCCCCTGACTTCCGTGATGTTAGTCGGTGTTGGCCAGGCTGTAATTTTATCGATCTTCCTGTCGTCGACATTGATTCCTTTGCCTCCAACTATATGGCCTAAGAATAATAACTGCTTCTGTCCCCAAGTGCACTTTTTCTCGGACACTACCAAATCAAATTTACTTAACAATTCAAAAACTTTCCGCACATGATACTCGTGTAACTCTTCATCTTTAGAATAAATAATGATATCGTCGAGATAAACTAGCGCAAACTTACCCAGACATTCGCGTAAGATGTTATTCATCATGTGTTGAAAAGTTGCCGGTGCGTTACACAATCCAAATGGCATCACGAGGAACTCGTACGCCCCATTTCTTGTCGCGAATGCGGTCTTTGGAATTGATCGTTCTGTCAGTTTTACTTGCCAGAAACCTGATTTCAGATCGATCGAACTGAATATCTTGGCTCCAGCAAGGAACTGGTACGCGTCGTCAATTCGGGGTAAAGGAAATGAGTCCTTGATTGTCAAAGCGTTCAATTTTCTATAATCAACACATACCCGTGAGCTCCCGTCCGGCTTTTTCACTAGGATGATGGGCGCTGACCAAGGCGATTTTGACGGTCGAATAATACCTTCCTTTAAGCCGTCTTCGACAAATTTTTCAATCAGCTGGTGTTCTGGTGGTGAGTATGGTCGGCCGTGGACTTTGGCCGGGGCGCTGTCCCCGGTATCGATGTCGTGTTCGAATACCTTGTCTTTCGGTAACCCTACAACTTCCCGAAATGCTTCTGGAGCTGTCCCGTATGCGATCTTCGCAAATTCGTTATCTAACGAACCTAACTTCGTATCACAGACGATGGAGTTCAGGAGATCGTCTTTCACACGATAACTCAGGTTGTAAGGCTTGACGTTGACCACTTTATTTTCTGCGTCCAAGAATGTGTAGCTGAGATCGTCATAATCCGGAACCGCTCGTGTTTGACATAGCCATGGGAGTCCTAAGACCAGGTCCATCTCGGGCAGGTTGATCAGGAAGGCTTCAATTTGTGTAACGTTATCGTCGATACATAGGTCAAACTTTGCTTTCATCTTTACTTGCTCGATATGGCCGTTGGCTAATCGTACGTTCCGAGGTTCTACATAGACAATCTCGATCTCCCGTCGACTGTATAACTCATCAGCTACAGCTACATCCAGGTAGACTGCTCCTGCACCTGAGTCGATGATGGTGTCGCAGATGACAGCGCCGATGCCGAACTCGTATCTCGGTAGAGTCTTCTCTTCTTCATCGAGGTGGTTGAGATCTAATGGTGGTGGCGTCTTCTCCAATTCGGCTGGGCTATCTCCCATCCATACGATGCTAGAAGTTCCTGAATCCGATTCTAGTTCGAACTCGTAGGATTCGGTGTCGCTGTCAATTTGTAGCCAATCAATGTACTCGCAATCGGAGTGCTTAGCCACTTTCTTGGGCCTATCTTCAGTATCGGTACATTTTCTTTTTAATGTAGTCGAGGGTGATTCGATTTGCATAGTGTTGAGTTGTAGTTCCCGGGTGATACCATGTCGGCTGGCACCGGGTATGAATTCTAAGGCTTTCGGGTTGAGAGTAGTGAGACCCGACTCGATTCGACTACACATCAGTAAGGCCTCTTTATTTCGGTCGATGTTCCAGATTTCTTGCCTGATCGATGCGACTACGTTATCGAACTTCTTACTTAAGTTGTTGCTAATCCTTTTGAGATCAGCGTTGATCTTATCGTAAGAATCTTCTTCTGGTTTGGTAGGTTGAATGAAAAAGAGGTTGCTAGTTGATTTTGAGTTTTCTGGAGGGTCCAAGTCGATTAAATTTAACGACGGCCTAGCACGGTGTTTCTCTGGAGCCTTTGAGTTGTTATATTTTATTTTTCGGGGAGATGGACAATCCTTCGATAAGTGACCAATTTTATTACAATTATAACAGCGCGCTTTACTTACATCAAGCGCATCTAAGTCCATAGGAGCGCTGGCGCTGACAGAGGTTCTTCGTGCCGGGGTAAAGTTGTTGTGAGAAGAACGTCGGAAGTGTCCGCCGGATGAGTTGTTCGAGCTGAAACCTCGATAATTATTGAAGTTGAAACTTCCCGATCCTCCTCGATAGTTGCTGCTCTTCGTTACCCTTTCGTATTCTCTAACGAAGTGGCAGAGGTCGTCGAGGGTGTCACATTTTTCGCTGAGGAGTTTGACACGGAGGTGACCAGGGAGGTTGACAGTGAAATGGAATTTCTTGTCTTCATCGGTCATCTTATCGGCCGGCAACTTGATTGCTAGTCGTTTGAATTTATTGATGTATTCCTCGGCCGTAGTGTATTTGAGGAACTGCATTTCGACCCGAGCATCGTATTGTTTATGGGCGTAGTTAAATTGATCGGTGAGCTTCTGTTTAAAAGTGGCCCATGGTATGTCGGTGGTGCCCAACTCGCTAATGAGATTGAACCAATACGCTTCGGCGGTATCTTTGAGATTTTGAATGATCATGCTAGTCCATCGGTCTTGGGGGTAGTTGCGTCCAGCAAGGATACACTCGATCTTCTTGATCCAGATATCCACATCTCCTTTTCCATCGAAGTCTGGGAGACGGACGGAGATGGTCTCGACTCGAGGGGCGGCTTCGGCGCGTTGAGCCTGTTGGTTTAACGCGTTAGCCATCAGTTGTTGCACTTGCTGTTGTAGGTTGAGAATTACCTCATCTCGGGCTGCATCACGGGCTGCTTGGTTTCCATCGTTCATGGCGGCGTCCATTTTCGGATGAGACGGTATCGGTTTCTAGAAAGGGTTTTAGAGGATATGAACTTAGTTGTTTATTTCGAAAGAGAACGGATTTCGGATAGCTATAAGGTTGTTTGTTTCTATTCGGAGAGGGTTAGAGGAAGAGGGGAATCTTACCGGTTCGCGACGCCGGTAGAGAGGTTTAAAGATGAGGGTAGTTGATAGGTGTTTTGTTGGTTGGTTAGTTTTCTAAGGGTTTTTTTTTTTCGGTTTGTGAGTTTTGGTATCCTTTATTTTAACGGATTCTAAAGAGTATGACGGAGAATGATTTAAGATAAAGGAAGAGTTTTACTCACAGAAATATTTCTGTGATTCTCGCCAGCTTTTGAGGTCGGAAAAGATACGAGAGAACTTGTTGAGGATTGTATTGCAGTAGAGAGAGCTCGTATTTATACGCGAGGGATGGAATAGAGACATCGGTTTGAGGAGAGAGAGTTACAAGATAGATGTGAGGAGTCCCATTAGATGGGACGACTAGTATTACAATCGGATAGAGAAGTAAGACCGGACTTAGTTATATTCGGTCCGTCTTTAGTAAGTCTAATATACAAGATAGAGAGATAGGAAATACAAGAAGCGAGAGTATCAGTAAGATAGCCGAGAGCGGCTGACGGGATATAGGAATAAGGAAACAGGTAAACAAGGGAAAGACCGAGAGCGGTCGATAAAGTGTTCAGCAGCTGGATAAGGCTCCGCTGGAGCCGTTCCCTTATCCGGAAGCCGGGGCTTCACAAAGGTGAGAAAATATACAAGGCAATGTTTTGTTGCACGGCTTAGGAACTATCAAAGAGTTAGCGGGGGAAAAATTGGAACAAAAAAATGGAAAAATTATAAAAAGAGGCCCAGATGGTTGAAATTCCGGGCAAACCCAGGGTCAGTGAGAGAATGAATGTCTCTTGCGCCATCGCTAGTAGCGGTACCTGTGGATAGGGTTGGTTTGGGGCTTAAGGTTAAACTTTTTAATAGGTAGCACTTTGATCAAAACCAAGTGCCAACTCTCAACCGTGGGGGTACGCGGTGGATTCTCACAGTAGATGCGTAAAAAAAAGGCAGACAAAAGGCAAGATGCCTGCCTCATGGGGCAACTTAGTCTTACATTCTGGAGACTGCAGGTGCCCGAACAATGAGACATTTCGTGGAAAATCCCACAGAAATGGGGTAAAATCTTGAATTCCTCGCGCAAAAAAAGCCACTTCAGTTGCAAGCCCCTCTTTCAGAGGCTCGCTTCGCGAGGTGCCCCCGGCACGCCGGGGTCCCCCCGTCCCTCTGGAACGAGGGGATTGTGCTAAGCTAGGCTTACGGTGCAAATTTGCGCCACTGAAGGCTACTGTGAATGTCCTTGGCTGTATTCTTCTTGTAGTAAACATTCCTTCATCGACCATTGCTCTATAAACACACCCCCATCCGTAGTGTGCCCGTCAAGACACCTCATCATACCACATCCACAGTTCCCCAGTACTTCCTGAAAGCAGATCAAATTTGAAGCCAACAAACCATCAGTTTCTTTTTGACAAGCCAGCTAGGAGTGTCAAGCCAACTCAAACTGACATCCAAAAAAACGAACCCTCCATAAAGAAAATGAATCGCATCGCTGCTATCCTCTCGAACGCTATTGTTCTTCTTTTGATCATGGCGATAGTTGACAATGTCTCAGCGGGAAGATGTGACCACGACTTCAAAACGCCTCAATGTGCTTTGCGCAGACCAAGTGCGTTGATGAGATAATTCATGATGCTCTTCAATCCTTCCACTGACTGCCAAGATTTATTGATTTTGTTGACATTTTAGACCAGCTCCCAGGTATGTTGCAGATGATTCTTCAAGAGCTCTTACCTTTGTAAAAGCTGACTTCAATATTTTATTTTCCATCAGTATACATTCCCACTCATCTTGACCATGAAGGCAATTTCTATTGTGGATCAGGATACACTGAAGAATGTTGTGGTACGGACGTGAGTGACTGGTCTGATGTGGCTCTTCATCTTGCTGCCAAGGTTATCAGATCTGACTGACATCCTTCTCATAATTCTCTCTTCACTTCACGCTCCACCAGAACGATGGGCCACACTGTTATGGTGCAAATTAATTTCTTATCCACCTCTACGAGTTAGATTTCTATACATTACACTTATGAATATGGCGATGTTCTCGCCAGGCACCTGCTATCGAAATTGAATGAGGAGTCTAGACCCCTAACAACCTGTTGAGTAGATAGCAATGAGGTCTCAAGTGTGCTGGCTTGAATTCAAAATCCAACTCAAGCACATAATCTTGCAATGAAGTGCCCATTTGGCTGTGCAGTGCCAGTAAACTAAGAGTCGATGACTGTCCGGTTCCTATCAAATGCACTTTTACATATTTCTTCACTGGATTCTAAACCACCGCACTGCGTCCTTGAAAGATTAAGAGCCTCGTATATGAATCGCTTTCGATTCCAAGGAAAATCTGCCCATGGCAAGTTGTAAGTGTTGGAAGATTAAACCCGGCCAGATTGAAATTAAAAGCAGCAATTAAAAGAAAAGACTGGCGCAGTGGCGCGGTGTTGAAAAGGGATGTATGCAGTTTTGGAACGGGGAGACCTGCGTCCGTTTAGGTGAGCCGTGAGCGGCATGAACTGCTTGAATGGATTCTACCACCGGGCAGGTTCGACTCGATTGATTTTAACCGGGGATTCCCCATTTTTGGATCTACGTCCTTACTTCCGGAAGGCGAGACGTGATAGTCGCGACTCGCACCGAGGCGTCGCGCAATCTAACATCTGAAATTCGGGCACTTGATTAAGTAGATATTCCTGTCCATGGTGTAGGGTCAATGAAGCTAAGAGCTTGATCGAATCCCCAGCATAGTAAGAGTTTCACTACCAAAGTTTCGAGAGTCGAAGTACTTTTGATTCTCTTAACTAGGTCAACAAGTTACAACTTGGATGTCTGGCGAGATGAAGATCCAGATTGACAAAATGATAAAAACCTGAGGTGAAAGTAAATGTTGACTAGTTGCTGATCATAAGACATGTGGGTATTTCTTTACCTCTGTGATCCGGCGGATCAAAACTGCAATAGTTGATGGAAACTAGCCACCTATACCGTTACCTACATGAGTGGTAGTGGAGGTTGTACAGCTAGCCATGTAGTAGTTAGCCTAGTCTTCTGGAACATTTGTTTAAGGCAAATGTCATTCCTACATATGCTTGGTGCAACGATTTTGCTTCAAGGTGGAACCATGGTCACTTGGCCCGGGCGTCATACATCGACCGTCAGGAGATAACTGGGAAAAATGCCCTGGCCCTCACAGAATTGGCACAAAGTGCAAAACACCAAGGGGAAATCTCCCGATGGAGCAAGCAGGGAAAGGAAGCGATTGGGTGGTATATAATGATGACTTGACTCATTCAAAAATGTGTTATTGTAGTGTATGCTGTTGATGTATTGATTTGATAGACTTGCACGCCCAAGTGGACTTGCAGGACTCCTTTTGTGCAGACTTGTCAGATTGCCAATTGACTGCAGGGTGGAATTGATCACACATGCTGTGTTTTCCAAATGGAAGGAAACCTATGATTGGAACCAGGTGTTGGAATAGGTTTATGTAGTTGCTTTTACAAGGGAGAATCAAGCGGACCATGAGGGAAAAAAGTATGTAGACTGATATCAAACGAAACTTGAAGAAAGGGGACATTCTTAATTTTCCAATCCATTTTCTTGTCTCCACACCTTTGCATCTTCATAGTACTTAGATACATCAACACCATGGTAAGGATGACTAATGAAAAAGAAAAGAGAAAATAACACATTTTGGGTTGAAAACCAGTCAAACACAGCCTTGTCAGAATCGTCCAAGTCATCAAAATGAGAGAGGAGAAGCAAATCAAAGAAAGCTTAGACTAAACTTGACAAAGTTGAACCATGGGATTGTCGAGAATTTGAGGTGCGCGAATTGTGAGTTATGGTGAGCGACGGTTTGAATCCAAGGTTGGATAGTCGATTCCCCCCAAATCGGTCGACCTGCGGGGATGAGTTTGATGATCAGTGTACCACTTCCGTAGGTCATCTTGGTGTCGGTTTCGATGCTACTCACCGGACCGGGCGATCTGGGTGAATTCTTCATGTTGCATCTTCTGCTCGCGTTCGTTTTCACTCCAACCTAAAAATCGATCTACGAAGAAAACAAGGGGCGATCGGATCGGAACTTTGAGTTCGCATAGTTCGCAGAGGAAACTGGTTGGGCCTTAGAATGACTTACTTGCCCCACGTTCGTAAGCCATCAAGAACCCTCCACAAAATCCCAACCAGGTTCCCAGACCATAGAATCGAGTCTGAGTTTTGATGTGACGGACGGGGATCCTATCACTGAGATCTGTTAAGAAATTCAGGGGACGAATAGGGATGTTCAGAAATGATCGAGACCAACAAGTGAATCGGATATATTCATGAAATCACTGATCATCACTTACCCCAGGCATAGAGTAAACCGGGAACGCCGACAGTGAATCCTAACCAGGCCGCCAGATCGGTCGAGCGCATGTATCTGATCACTCGCTTGAAATGTGGGTCAGTGTCGAGGACTGGGAACTTGTGACGGGGTACATATTCGGTAGGCGAGACTGTTGAGGTCGACATCGTTTTTGTTCTGTTTCCACTTTCGTGATAATCAACTCTATGTGTATGCACCTGATCCCTGCTCGGTCCGTCTCGTTCTTGGGTCCGGTTGGAAATCCTCTCGGCTGGGGCAGGCTCGGCTCAGGCTCGAAAAACCACTGCTGCCTGTCACGGTACTGTCAGCAGCTCAGAGATCGGTGACAGGCCCCTCCAGTGACATGTGTTGCAGGCATAGCCCGTGGTAATACATGATCGACCGGGGCTCTTGGGAGTTGGAGTGCTCTCTCCATTTACTTATGGCCACAATCACATCCGCAATCTTCTCAATACCAAACAGTTGATGAAGAACGAACGAAGAGGGAAGGCGGAAGGCACCCAGAAGGACAGAAGACCGTTTACAAAATGCCAACTAACCAGCAGCCACCTCAATCATCTAGTTCCAACCCAGTTCCACAATCTCAATATGGTAGTAAGCAGTTTGACCTTTGTTCTATTTTATTTGCTTATGCCTTCAGTTACCGATTGTAACTAACTCAGCTTTCCTTCCTTTTGCACAAATAAATAGCTCTTGATTCAACTCAGCACGCTTGGATTGATAAAGCACCCTCAAGTCCCACCCATTTCCTGTCGAGGGCCTCAAGGCGTCTTCCAGAATTACAGCAACAGCTCCAACTGAACCCAGAACTAACAGCCAACGAACAGGCGGATGGCCATCTACCTACGGAGCGGGAGCCGCTGCTGAGCTATCATTCAAGTAAACCCTCATCACCCCTAACCTCACCATCCACCCAGCAGGCACCCCCACAAGCTCATTCCGCCAATCAACATCGATCTGGAAGCAATGATTCTCTTTCGACCAGCCATTCAAATTCTCATCAGCAAGCGCTATCAACGAATTCTAGACCCTTACCGGCTAAAAAGCTGGGTACCTTCGACGGCGTCTTCCTCCCTACGATCCTTAGCATCTTCAATGTAGTCTATTTCATGCGCTTCGGCTATTGCATCGGCCAGATCGGTCTCCTGGGTACCGTCTGTTTACTGCTAATAGCCTACCTGATCAACATTCTGACGGTCTTCTCACTCTCCGCCATTGCCACCAATGGCCAGGTTCGGGGTGGTGGCGCGTATTGTGAGTCAACATCAGCTGCCTCCAATTTGGAGGGGGTTCACTTGTTGGATGATGCAAGCTAATTTTACTTTTTACTCTTTCTGCGTTTGAAAATATCTGTGCCTGTTTGCCACAACTTGGATCCTTATCTGCTATCAACCTCTGTCTCCCACTTGACATCAAATTCAAGATCTTATCAGTCGTACCTTGGGACCTGAATTTGGTGGATCAATTGGTATCCTATTCTGTTTAAGTCAAGCCATGACGGCAGCAATGAACATCATCGGATTCGTAGAAGCGATGATCACCATCACTCAGCTCCATTTATATCGATCCCATCAAGATACAGTGAATGGAGACCCTCAAATCCAAAACACCTCCACATCCGTCATCCGCTACTTCCTCAAGACCGCAGCTCTCTTAGGCGCCACCTTCGCTTGTATCGTTTTGGGTAAACAGAAGATCTTTTGTAGTATGACTCGATCGGTCTCACTACTGCTCCTCTTCACCTTATTATCCATGCTCTTCTCCTTCATCAACAAGAGCCCGTTCTCAGATCCAGTCCAACATCTTAACTATACCAGCTTCTCGATCGCCACTTTCAAAAAGAATCTTTATCCAGACTTTCAATTTCTTGATGATGGCAGTTCGACCAAGATCCAAGTCAAGTTTTCTGATTATCAGAGAGTCTTCGGGATCATCTTCCCCTCACTATCTGGGATCCTAGCCGGGAGTTCGTTATCCGGAGAGCTTGGCAAGCCCAGTAAATCCTTACCTTCAGGGATGATATCGGCTTTGATCTCGATCATCACCGTCTATCTCGTCACCCTTGTCTGTCTCAGTCTCACTTGCGCCAGGGAAGCTTTTACGGTACCCAACCAACTCGGATTCCTCAACTTGATCGTCCTGCAAATCTCAAGTTACCCCGCCTTGATGTCCCTTGGTCTCTTACTCTGTACACTCTTCTCCAGCATCATGGGTATCACTGTATGTGGCAAAATCCTACAGGCTGTTTCTCGAGATGGTCAGCCCCTCCCTTCCAGTCCTATCGGGCTCGCACAAAAGTTTCCAGCCATGCAGATCTCACAGCCGGCTAATCTCACCTCACCTCATGTCTTGCTTTATTTTACTTCTTTTTGTCCATTTGATTCGGTTGCATATGGTTATTCTTTTATAGGACTCATTCCGATCATGAAACCATTCTTCAGTCAAGGGAGTACGATTGGAGACGACCCAGTGTATTCAATCCTGCTATGTTTTATCGTCTGCCAAATCGCTCTCTTCTGCAACGTCAGTCAACTCGCAATTCATATCACCACCATCAGCTTGCTTGTCTTTGCTTGTATCAATTTGGCTTGTTTTACCTTGAGGGTAAGCACTTCATTTCTCTCTCTCTCTCTCTTTCCTTACATTTTCTCTTCGTTCATCCTCTTCTATCTTTTCTCATTCTTTGGCGGTTATTTCGAATCCTACTTAGGTTGCTGGCTCACCGAACTTTCGCCCAAGCTTCAGACTATTCTCTGAGTGGACGGCCTTATTGGGATTGGCACTAGCCCTGCGTGAGCCTTGTCTCTTTGTTTTTGCCTATGAGGCTGTTCCCCGCGGTCAATTCTCATTTAATTTGACTTGATGGGAAAATCTCTGGCGGGAATGATTGTCGATTTAGTGTCTATGTATCTTGTCGGTCCAGTCTCTGCGTCGACTTCGATTATTGCAATGATCACACTTTTTGTTGTTATCCAGTTGAGTGTTGATTAACCATTTCGGATGATGCTGTGTTCTAAAACTCAATGGATCTTCTCACTTGCACTTAGCTATTCTTCTCCCGCTAAGCAATGGGGTGAGGTAACACAATCGATCATTTACCATCAAGTTCGTAAGTATCTCCTGAGGTTGGATGAACGGAAGGATAATGTGAAATACTGGAGACCTCAGATTTTGTATGTTTAGTTATTTTCAATCCTTCTGTTACCCACTTCCTTCTTTTTTTTTAAAAAAAAAACTCGCCTGCAATGTTTTTATTTGGGATGGTTTAAGGGCTTTTCTTGGTACTGATGCCCATGTTACACTTGCTATGTTTGGTTTACATCGATGACAGGCTATTTACAAACGACCCAAGGCACGATTGGAACCAAATCGTATTTTGTAACTCTCTCAAGAAAGGTGAACAAAGGTCTCTCATGATACATATTTCTCGTCTTTTTAGTAACGCTGCTTATACTTGGGTCTGGGCAGGTGGTCTTTACGTTCTCGCGCATATCATCAAGTCTGAATTTTCTCCTGAGGCCATCAAAGAATTACAAGAACAGCAATTGAATTGGTTAGGGTTAGTCGACATTTCTAACATCAAAGCGTTTGTTGACCTTACGCTAGCGCCTGACGAGAGGGTAGGTGCGCGTCAATTGTTGTTGACGGCAGGTCAGTGACCTTCTCTCAACATGGAGGGTTTTGAACACATTTTAAACTACACGTTTTTTTGTTTTTGTATGCTTAGGTCTGGGAGGAATGCGCCCCAACATATGTATCCTGGGCTTCCCGACCAATCTGAAATGGCGAGGGAAAGGCAAATTGGTTGATAATCAGACCGGGTCTCCTACACCACTCCTTGCGAAGCGACGCTCCGACAGCTCCATTACTGTCAGGGGAATGGTAATTGAATCAACTGCAGACATTTCAATTGACTGTCTTGGCTCCTTACCCACAGACTCTCAACGATCAGAAACTCCAATCAAGCCCAGTAAGTGAGTTATATTAAACTCTCATGATAACCACAGCCCTGTCTAAGCTCATCCTCCTTTGCAAGCTGATTTTGTTGGAATCATAGAGGATACACTGAGCTTGAACAAGTCAATTGGTCTCACTTATAACTTTCAAGGCATGCGATTACCGGAATCTATCAGCCGACCCCAGACGGTTTATTCAAACGATCATATGGGCCCTCCGGCTGACGGTAGCTTCCAGGGCTCTAATCCTGACAAGGGTAAAAGATGGATTGATCTTTGGCCTATCTTACGGGCGGGTCCCTCGGCGTGGGAAACATATACAATGGTACTTCAACTGGGGATGATCCTTTCTATGGTCCCCTCGTGGAGACACTATCATAATCTCAGAGTTGAGTTCGAACATTTGTCCTGCGTGACCAAATTGCAAGTAAGATTGATTATTTTATTTTATTTTTTTGAAAAAAAGGTTACTATATTTTGCGAGTATGATCAAGAGATTGCAGAGGAACGTCGTAGGATGGAAAAGCTGATGAGTGACTTGCGGATCCGAGCCACCTTGAGAGTTGTGGTTCTGGCCAATGGGCAGATAGAGAGCTATGAATGTTTAGTCAAGGGTAAGACAGTTGACATGGTGGCATGGTCAAAAATTGAAAGGACCTTAGCTGGTGATCCAGTAAGTTTCTCACAAATAAGCTTACATTCTGTTCTCCTAGACCCATGTGCAGTGCACCATCCTTTTCCTCATTGTTGATTTTGTCCTTTTTTTGTTGGAACAATCGAGTGGTGGGAAACATTGAAGTTCATGAGAGCTCAAGATTATCCGCCTCAGAGTGAAGCTTCAACTCCGTCCACTTCACGCGAAAGGTCATCTTCTCGGTCAGACAGTGTATGCTCTGCTTCATTGGACAGAAACCTGTTGAAGAAAAACGCACAAACAAACAACATTCGAATTAAAGCTCTACACCCATTGAGTCGACGCACTTCCAATCAAACGTCTCAATCTGCTCAGTCAGGCAGCACCGCTACCGGGGATGATGATGATGACTTGATTTTGGAGGAGAATGATGGAGATGATGATACTATTGCTCGTGAGGCTTACAATCGGAATAAAAAGCCTGTTGGATTACCGGATGACCCAGTGGGTGTCCAATCAAAGCCAGCAACACCTCGGATTTCAATCCCCAACTATGGCTCAACTTTTGAGCACCAATCGCTGGATCTTCAAAGCCTCTCCCCCTCATCTTTACATAACGACATTCCATCACCTCCTCCTCAGAAGCGTGGGAATATGTCACGAGCAGGATCCGGTTCATCAGTTGTATCATCCTCTTCCTCAAGTTCAATCTCTGTCAAACTCGACAATTGGATTCGGTCACCTGGCTCATTCAACCCCTCACATCGCAACAAATCCTCACAGGGACTTGCATCAGTCTTGCATCGCAAGAAACTCTTCAGCAAGGCCCCTCCAGAGATGGTAGTTGAAGAAACTGCGGGACAAGCTGAACAACATCAAAGAAAGCCGCAAGGGAGTTCTTCTTCCACTAGTGGAAAGATGAAAGACCGCACCCCATATTTATCCTCCTCATCCGGAGGCGCTTCTACAAGATCATCTTCCTCCTCCTCTTGCCCCTCTGACAATCTGCCGCCGACCCCACCACCCTCATTCTTACCGCCGGTTGTGGAACTGGACTTCAACTCTCTACCCATGCATGCTCAGCTGATCTGTCTCAACGAGCTGATCAGGTTCCATTCTGATCATTCTAATCAACACTCCTCTTCCACTGCTATCATCTTCACTAGTTTGCCTCCACCGGAAAGCGGGACATCAAGTAGCTTTGAAGGTTAGTTTTTTTCCTATCCCTTTTCTTTTTGGTTTGATTCTCAGATCACATTTATTTCTCAGAGGTGATAAACTGGGCATGATTTCATGGGACATTAACACACCATATGTTCTTTTTTGTTTTTGTTTTCCATTTTCACATAGGATCAGCAAGGTATCTAGATCAACTTGAAACATTCTTGAAGGATCTACCGCCTGTCCTAGCTATCTATGCTAAACAATTCACTGTCACGTACGTTGACCATGCTCATATCTCATAAGTCTTTCTTTGCCCCTTTCATATATTGATGATCCTTTTGGTTTGATTTCTCCTTTGGATACCTTTTCCTGTATGTGTTGGCCTTTTTACCCATCAAAACCATGAATCTTGGAACCTCAATATGTTATGTACAAAGTGCTTCACTCTAGTCAAATAATAAAAGACAGCTTTTGTGTTTGGTTGAATTTATTTATTTATTTCAAATTCAAGAATGCATGGATAATCATTGGATATATGGCATAATTCTGTATTTTCACCTCACATGCACTTTACTATATTTGGGTGCCTATCATCATTGTTTTTGCCATTTTCCCTTAGTATGTGTCCTTTTGGTTATCTTACTTAATTAATTTTCTAGCATGTTATAATAATTTATACAGTAAAGGCAACAAATAGACCTTTTGTATCCTCTTTATTCACTGGATTTCTGACAATTTGCATCATGAGTGCACAGCAAGCTTTGAGGAAGATCGGGGTAGTGCCCTAACTTTGCTTTATCTTTTGTCACCAGGGTGCAAGAAAGTAGACATTTGCATCAAGGGCATAATGTTGCATAGTTTTGGATATTCAAGATGAAAGCTGTGAAAACAGCAAACTGATAACAATAATGTGGCAGTGGCAGCATGTGCATATTTAGTTTTTTTTTCTCTGCAAAAAAACTTCATCTGATTCTAAATTTGCTCTCTTGCCAGTGTCCAATCAATCATTTGCTAACCCATTGCTGTCCAAATAGTGCCTGCCCATTTTCTTGGTTTTTCTTCAAGGAAAATATTCATGGCTATGCTAGTCTTATTTTACCTCTTGCTGTTTGGAGACTCATTCTGCCCACCAAATGATATTACAAGTTCCAGCTTGGCTCCGTGTGGTTACATGTATGAATATGTGGGTCCTGTCAGTTCTGTCTCAGCAAAGTTCTGTCTCAACCAAAGCTAACTAGATATGTGTCAGTCCCTCTTCATTGATTGCAAGTATAAAAGTATTTGAAGGATCCACACATGTTTCAGAATTGGGACATAATTCTCCTCTTGGTAGGGTCATAGTTCTCAAGTATTGATCTGGTCCAGCTCAGAGCTGTCCCACATCTAATTTGCTGAATTTTTTCTTCTTCAACTAGCCTTGAAAGTTGACCAACAAAACACCAAGCAGGTTTATGACTACTTCAGATCTACCACTATGCCAAGGTCCCTTGCAGGAATAATTGTTCTCTCTGCACTAAGCTATGCCCTGCCTGCACCCATCTATGACTTGCCAATAACCACATCATCAAGTGGCCCATATGAATGTCCTGCCATTTCAATTCCAGTAAAGCAATCATATTATTCAGAAGGAATAGAGCCCATCAATCAAGCATTCAGAGATGAAACGGGGCACTACTCATCCAATCCACAAGTGACAATGAAACCACCTGAATACCTGCCAATGGTCCACCCAGAGTGCATAGAGCCAACCAAGGTGGATACAAATGGGAAGAGAGACCCAACTGATGATGAAAAAAAGAAGATTGCTGATATTCTCAAGAATTATCCCCCAGGCTATGTTTACAAAATCAGCAGATCTAGATTTTATGTCCAAATGTCAAAACCCATATTTTCATCAGAATACTCATTTGGAAGGGTCAGAATCCTGGGTGCTGATGACAAAATTATACATGACACTGGCTGTTGTCATTACAACTGTAATTCTGTAACACATGGCTGTCTTCAAATTTTGGGCTTCATCTTGGATTCCATGATAGCGGAAACACGGGATGATTGCAAGCACAATGAATGAACTGAATTAGGGTCCACTTGACAAAAAAAATCTCAATGAAAGGTCTTGAGAAATGAATAAACTGATTAAAAATAATGATAACAAGCAAGAACAGGATAGTTTCTTTTTTTTTTTTGATTACCCATCCAAGCATCTTTTGGCAGTACCCTGATAAATGCCTTTTGAAAAAACTTCTGTTTACAATTGAATATTCATGCTTTTTTCTTCCTGGGAAAATGAAATATGACAACAGAGAAAAGTATTGTTTTACACAGCTTTACTATACTTTCAAACCTCAGTGTACCACTCATGACTCAATGCTGTTGGATTGTAGAAAAAATTCTCAAGATTCTTCAATATCTCAGAATATACAGTCTCTCTTGTTGAGAAATCTCCAGATATTCATCATGTCCAAGAAGAAGACCTGGGCCGCTAAACTACGCTCAATGGGCCACTAACGTGAGCATAGTGGCCCTCCAAACAGCACACCAAACCTGTAGTGTGAGTGCCCCTACTAGGCTGTGCAACAGCGCTTTTAGCGGAAAAAAAGGCCCAAAAACCACTAAAATGTGCTATAGCACAGCATAGTGGGCCCTTTTTTGCCACCCACATGCAAAGTGTTAGCGCAGTTCTGGTAGAATTCTGCTGTGCTACACTAAGTGTTACCAAAATTCCACTGCACTACGCTATGCTAACCGCTACTGTTAGCGTAGCGGCCCACTGTTGCAAGAAGTTAAGGCTTACCTAGTTCATCTGTTGGCTCTGTCATTCTTCACAAATTTTATTGGTTTTTTTATTCCTGGATTACAATTAAAAGGGTTGAAATATTTGATTGAATTTCAACCTGTTGGCAGTTACCAGAACAGCAATTACATTGGTTAGGGTTAGTCAAAATTTCTAGCATCAAATTGTTTGTTAACCTTAACTTAGCACCTGAAAAGAGTGTAGGTGCCCATAAATAGTTGCTGAAAGCTGGTCAGTGGCTTTCTCCACATGGCAGTTTTTGAAGAAATTCTAAATCACGGGTTTTCTTTCTTTTTGTATTTTTAGGTCTGGGAGGAATGTGGCCCAACATATGTATCATGGGCTTTTTAAACAATCTCAGATGGCAAGAGAAAAAAAAATTGGTTGCTAATCAAACTGGGTCTCCTACTTCACTCTGCAGCCATACCCAGGAAAGCCCCTATGGAAAACATTATAAATATGGGCCTTCATATAGAAATACAGGTTTTCTGTGTGTTGACATGGTTTTTGCTGTGCGCAGCAGACTTGTATTCCATGTTTAGACTAAGGTTGATAATTGGGCCGGGTGTCCAACAGGACACCCAAACATGGCGGGGTTTGGGTTGGGTGTGGCAAGCTGTTTTGGGGGAAATCTGAATTTTGGCCCGGCCTGTTAAAGTCAACAAACAGTGTCGGTTGGTGTGGGCTGGCCAACGGGTGCCCACAGGCTTCAATGCAACTTGCTTCCCAACCCTCTCAAAGCTGGCCAAGGTGATACTGATGGCCCGGGGTGATGTCTTGGACGACTATCAAAGCCAACTCCACAAAGAAACCACCAAGGCACTCTTGTGCACTCAGGATTGGATGAAGGACATGCAGTCCTTGTTTCTCATCTTTATTCCTCACATTTCTTTTATATATGGTGTTGCAAGCCCGTCTGGGCACACATCAAAGTTCGGCCAAAAAAAGGCCAAGCACGCTGGGCCAATCCCAAAGCCCTCTTGGCTGATCCTAAAGCATGTGTGGCACCATCCCAACCCCCGCTTGGCACATGCTAAATTTGGCAGGGTTCGGGACAAAGCCTTGCTTGGCTGATATAAAGCAAGGGTGCCACACCCGCCAACATGCCGGCCCCCGAGAAGGCCAGCTGCTGAGTCGGGGCCCAGTGCCAGGCTGGTGCACATGAGCTGCCAATTGGCCCAGCAGGACTTGGCTATGTTCCAAGTCCTGCCCCCCACCTATCCTGTCTGATCAATCCCTCTGGGCACAATCCAAACCCCTGGTGGCACTCGGCCAGGCGGGACTTGACTCTGTGCCCAGACGGGCTTGCAAGACCATACATAGCACCAAGTAGTGTAGTAAACTACTAGCCAATATGTAATACAAAAAATATTGTTTTCTCTCTTTGTATCCTATTCAGCCTGACCTGTGGGCTCACTGCGGGCTGCCTGTGGGTCACCTGTGCTGCCCTCTGGACAGCCAGCCTGGCGGGGCACCACTGGACAGCCTGTGTCCACCTGATTCCAGACACAGATTTGGGCCGGACAGAAAAATCTGCTGTTTCGACCCAGCCTGGCCTATCCAATTAAGTTTTGGGTAGAGTTGGGCTAGCCTGTGGGCGGCCCAAACCCGCCCAATTATCAACCCTACTTTAGACACGTTTTTTAACTAATTTTTTTCACCTTATTTTTTGAGTTTTTTCAAAATTTCAAATTTATTTCCTTGGTTTTCTTATATTGCACATCATCTTCTCTGTCCTCCTCTTCTTTGAATTCTTCAAATTCTTCTAACTCTCATGCTTTTTCTTTGGAAAGCTTCATTAGCATTCAGTCTTTCTCTCAACAATGGGAAGTTACATATGTTTCAATATCCAACTGGATGTTGGTAAAATAAGTTCCCAGTGTTACCGGATAACAAGTCATTGTTTTCCAGGAAGCCTATATTTTTGAGGCTCAAGCAACATAAAGAGGAGTCTTTTACCCCTTGTTACATGGAAAATCAATGTGGATAACACGTTTTCCGTGTTATGATTCTCCCCCTCTTGCACATTGTGGAACTTTTCAAGCTAAAGGAAAGAGCTTAGAGGGGAAAAGAAAAACTACACAGGGGAAAATGTGAGTTGAAGACTTGTTTGCTGATGAAGCTGCCCTCTTGTCAAGGCTTGGGGAGAAGTTACACTAACCATTAAAGAAAACGTCTGGCTATTTCTGAGGGAATCTTATTGAGAAATTTATTACTAATGTCTTTACAAGGCACGTGCTGAGAGATTGAGGATTTGGGAATTTTGGTAAGGATGAGGCTCTGAAGGGTAATGGTTTCTGGTTTCAACTTCTTCAGAAGTAATTATTAGTAAGTGATGTCTGCTAAGTAATTATCTCTTTACTTCTCTATTGCAAGCATGGGGAACAAAGTAAGTGAGAAACTGTAGTCTCAGACTCTATATACATGTGGGTGGTTGTGATCAGGTACTAGTGGTAAGATATCAGCTGAAATGAGAATATGGTATGAAATAAGTTGTATCTGAAAGACAAGTGATGATGAAATATATATGGCTTACAGATGTGTAGTGTGAAATCAATATTGCTTTAAAAGAGACAATATGAAATAATTTATGTTTGTGATAAAAATAATATGCAGTGTAAAAGAAATGAGATAATAAGAAACTGAAATAAATATTCTGAATTGAAATAAGAAATCTGTGTGGTGAAATATACTAGGTGATATAAGCAATGTATGATGAGTTGAAATGAGATGTAAGATATGGAAGAAATGTAGTATGAAATGAATGATGTATGGAAAGAAGTGGATGATGAGTGAGATGAAATAACCATATCTGAATGAAGAAGCAGATTTATGGTATGAAATGTTATATGATAATGCAGTCTGACTAAGTGGTATCCGAGATATAATAAGTAGTATGTATAAAAAGAAGGTATTGTGGAA